CCCGGAGCCCTCCCGCCAGCTCACCGTTCGCGATGTAAACCATCCTGCTGTTCGTCCCCCGCCTCCGGAGCGACTGGGTGGCCGATCCCTCTGGAGTCCGGTGCCTTCCTCCACGCCCCGCCCCTGAACGTCACAGACAACACGGTGACGGAACCCGGAGGTGGACAGAGCCCATTGGCTGGCGGGGNCCGACTGGCGCTCCGGCTTCCTAGCCCCGGCGACTTCCGGTAGGGGGAGGCTTCCGTTCGGAGCCGGATGTGATGGTCCCAAAGTTCTGCCCGGTTTGGGTCGGAATTGGCGGAACTTCCTCGCGGCGTCCGGGGAGGAGAAGCTGCTGTCTGGCTGGCTGCAGGCCCAGGGCTGGGAGGCAAGTGGCGTTTGAGGGCGGGCTGGCGACCCGGCTGTAAGGAGCGTTGTGCGAAGCCCCTGGAAGCGCAGACAGGCACCCGCTGGTGTACTGATCCCATCTGTGCGCGAAAGGGGCCGCATGGTAAACCTGACGAGCTCCGGGGAGGCCCGCATGGCGGCCCTCACCGACTCACCCAGAGTAGCCACATTCAAATTAAGACCTCTAACGAACCGCAAGTCCTGTCCTCGGCCAGCCTCTTCCCTGAGAAAGGTCCGTCTTTACCTTAATTGAGCCTTTTTATCGCCTTTTCGCACACACGATGGCATACCCTTGGGACCTCAGAGTCATCTTTTTCCAGGCCTCTCAGGGCACAACCCAGGGACCACCGCAGGAGACCCCAGAACCCCGCATTGTTACCTTGTCCCATCCAGTCCCCCCCACACCACCTCTCTGTGCTGTCGACGTCAGCTACCCTGTACCCATCGATGTAAAAGAAGTGTGTGACTCTCCATTTTACTTTTTACCCAATCCCAGAGTCCCCCCCCCTTTGCTTTCTCCCACCCCCTTAATCTACCACCAGTGGATTTCATTTACTACCCTCCCTTAGCGCTTTTCCTTTGATTCTAATGTATAAAATAAGCAGTAAAACTGCCATTCTCCAGACCATCTCAAGCTGTTGAGATTTTGTATCCTGGCACTTATCAGTTTGTCTCAAATAAACTCATAAAAATTCTCTACAGGTTTGGATGTTTTCTTATGTCAACACCTTTTAAATCAATATTTCTGCTCTTGGGTCACCAGAAGTGATTGGCGTTTTTTTAATCTGCTCTTGCGAGGCAGCTGAAAGATACTGTAGACCGTCTCTCCTTGTTCCTTGACGCCACTGCGCGCCAGCATTGTCAAGGGGACAGGAGCAAGTGTAAACCCCATACTATGTGCAGATGTGTATTTACTCTGCACCATCCACCGGGTTACTTTCTGTTCCCTGAACAGGGCAAGCTTGTTTCTAGCTCAAGGCCTTTGTACTTGGCTGTTCTTTCTGTATGGAGTCCTCCTAATGGCTCTCATCATATCTCATCTCATAAAGGTTCCTAAATCACCTTAAGTAAAATGAAAATGAAAATTACACTTTGGAAGCAATTATATTTTGCATTTAACAATGTTGGAAAGTGGAAGGGAACTTCTGGGTCCCGGAGATTTAATTTCCTAATGAACTACCTCTGGCCTCTCCTTTCCATGCTATGTTTAGCTGCCAGTTTAATTCATCTTACTTCTTTCACGCTTACAACCTTTGTTTCTCCCCACTACCTGACAGATAACATGCAGCCTCCTTGGTCTGGAGACTGTGGAAGGCTTCCCTGATACATTTTCTTAGGTTTATCTCCCTGACTTCTAATTTCCTAATAGACCCCTTGTTTTCCTTCCTTGTTACTTCTGCTCGTTTGTTTCCCCCTGATGGGAATTTTCCCCACCTCCTAAAATCAAATCCATCCTTTAAGGTGAGGCATGTTCCCATCAAATGAAATAATGAATGTGAAAGGACTTTGCTAATTGAAAAAATATTATGTAATTAGTAGCAAGATGGGGTCGGGGACAAAGATGACATTTTTTTCCTCTTTCCCTATCTTTTTTTAAAAATATATCTTTCTTGACTTTAGCGAGAGGAAAGGAGAGGGAGGGAGAGAGATGGAAACAT